TGGTGTTGCTTGAAAGTTGTTTGGAGTTCCAGATATTTTTCAACTGTAGAAATGCAGCCCTCGCTTTGCCAATCCGTGCCCTCACATCTGCATCGGATCCATCTTGGCTGTCGATGATTCCAAGATATGTAAAGGTGTTAACGTCCTCCAAGGCATCTCCATAAAGAGTGATTCGGTTGGTGCATGTTGTGTTGCATCGGAGAATTTAGCTTTTCCCTTTATGTATGTTGAGACCTACTGCTGCAGAGGTTGCTGCTACACTGGTCGTCTTCTCTGGCATTTGTTGTTGAGTGTGCGATAGAAGAGCCAGGTCATCTGCTAAGTCCAGATCGTCCAGCTGCGTCCTAACTGTCCAGTTGATACCGTGCTTCCCTCCAGATGTCGACGTCTTCATAATCCAGTGGATGACCAGGAGAAAGAGAAAGGGTGAGAGTAAGCAACCTTGCCTCACACCGGTCTTCACCTCAAACGAGTTTTTCAGCTGATCTCCGTGCACGATTTTGCAGTTGAATCCATCATAAGAATTCCGTATGATGTTGACTGTCTTCTCAGGCACGCCGTAGTGTCGAAGATGCCTCCATAGTGTTTTCCTATCCACGCTATCAAATGCCTTCTCGTAGTCGATGAAGTTCATGTAGAGTGGTGAGTTCCATTCAATTGATTGTTCCACAATGATCAGTAATGTAGCAATTTGGTCAGTACACGATCGATCCTTACGAAATCCGGCCTGTTGATCTCGAAGTTGTGCGTCTACGAAGTCCTTCATTCTGTTTAACAATACCCTGTTGAAGACTTTGCCTGGTATTGAAAGAAGAGTGATGCCTCTGTAGTTCTCACACTTGCTGAGATCGCCTTTCTTCGGTATTTTGATGAGGTATCCTTCTTTCCAATCTGATGGTACTTGTTCCTCATCCCAAATCTTCTTGAAGAGGATGTAAAATATTTTTGCAGTTGCTTCTACATCTGCTTTCATTGCCTCTGCTGGGATGTTGTCTGGTCCTACTGCTTTGCCGCTCTTGATTTGTCTGATGGCCATACTGATCTCCTCAATCGTAGGTGCGCCAATATTAATTGGGAGGTCCGTGAGTGCTGCTCCGATGTTGGGTGGGTTCAGTGGAGCTGGTCGATTCAGGAGTTCCGTAAAGTGCTCTACCCACCTATTTCGCTATTCGTCAGTGTTGCTGATCATTTTCCCTTCCTTGCTTACCACTGGTCGTTCTGGTTTACGATAGTTTCCGGCCAGCTTCTTTGTTGTTTCGTACAATTGTCTCATGTTTCCTTCTCTTGCAGCCTTTTCCGCCGTCATTGCTAGATCTTCCACATATTTTCGTTTGTCAGCTCTGATGCTCTTCTTCACTTCCCTGTTTGCTTCTGCGTATGCAGCTTGTGCGTTGGCTTTCTCTGCTCTTGTTCGGCTGACATTGATTGCTGTCTTCTTGTTCCTCCTTTCTTCAATTTTTGCAAGAGTACCAACAGAGATCCATTCCTTGTGATGGTACTTCTTGTGACCCAGAACTTCGTTACAAGCTGAAGTGATTGCCTCCTTAATCCCTTTCCAATTGTACTCCAATGTTGCGTCCACTCCTTTGAGTAGATCCTGAAAGGCCTGGAACCTATTGGTGAGGGCTATATTGAATTCGTTGAGTTTAACAGTATCCCGAAGAAAGGCCGTATTAAACTTCTGTGATGTTGTCTGCCCCATTGTCCAGTGCTTCTTTAGCTTCAGTTTCATTTTGGTGGCCAGCAAATGATGATCTGAAGCTATATCAGCTCCTCTCTTGTTTCTCACATCCTCCATGGTCGTTCTGAACTTTTTGTTGATAAAGATATGGTCGATTTGGTTTTGAGTAGTGTGGTCCGGTGAAATCCATGTGGCTTTGTGAATGCGTTTGTGCGGGAATGTTGTGCCACCGATGACCAGTTTGTTGAAGGCACATAGGTTTGCAAATCTCTCACCGTTTTCGTTCCTTTCTCCCAGTCCATGTCGTCCCATGATGTCTTCATATTCAGTGTTGTCCATGCCATCCTTGGCATTCAGGTCTCCCATAAGAATCGTCAAATCCTTTGATGAACATTTCTCGACGATTGACTACAGCCTTTCGTAGATTTGATCTTTAACGTCGTCAATTTAGTCATTGGTAGGTGCATAACATTGGATGACGTTCATTGTAATGTCCTCTTTCTTTGTTTTGAAGGATGCTATAATGATCCAGACACCATGAGATTCCCATCCTATGAGTGCCTTTTGTGCATGTTTGGACAGCATCAGTGCAACTCCTTGTGTATGTGAAGCGTGATTTATTTTTTCTGGTTGGCGCTTTTTGACAAGTTAGTTTCTTGACGGGATGGGGTCGCCAACCCCATGTCCAACCCTCCTCCTTTATCCGGGCTTGGGACCGGCAGTAGCCCCTAAGGTTCTACTGACGGAGTTAACCCTCTATTCAAAGGAAGGATAAAGGCGGCTGTTTGGCGGCCTGAACTTCACTAGTTGTTACAGGCGTAGGCAAGTAATATGTAATATCGTTCAACATTTTACTCAACTACGCTACCGTTGCCTGCCTTATGTCTGTCAGTAATTCAAGGGGAAGACTATCTATTGTTGAAATATTGTCGTCCAAACTTCTGATGAGCGAAATATCGGTGACGTGATTCACTGAGGTTTTTAGGCTCATGTATCATGTATGGCATTCTGCAACTCAATTTCATAGTGTTACAGTGAGAATGAAGCTACTATTCTCGAGATTACTAAGTAAAGTCCGGTTAAATCCAGAAATCGGAAAGAAGACAACAACTGTATGAAGAGGTGTATTGATTCGTGGTCTCGTGATGTCGAAATAATATCAAGACTGGTATGAAAAAGCATCTCTCCTACAAGCAGCCGTAAACCAGAAAGGGTGCATTGCCACAAAGGAATAGTACATATTCTCAGTTTTAGTGAGGAAGAAAATGTGTTTGTCAAGGTTTTTTTCTGCCAAAACAGATGGAAACCAGGAGTAGTTGAAAAGAGAGTAGTAGTTATTCGGGAATTCATTAGATCTATGAATCAGATTCATATTGACAAAAGAGTAATGAACACAACAAGAGAACAGTTAAATCTTTTACTTGATATTTTGACTGACAACGTTCAAAAAGTGTCTGATGGGTGGGGGCGGACGGGTTTATGAAAACCCAGCCATGATGTGAGGTATGCTGCTGAAGAGCTTAAAAGAGATCACATTTCAAAAGAACTTCTAGTGTCCATGTGGCGTAAAGTGATGATGATGTGACAAATTCTATTGCAGATCGACTTATTTTTATGGCGTTTTATGTGACTTCACTTTTACGAAGAAAACGTGATTGGTTAAATAGAAGCATTCATTATTATAACTAGTTGTACCGGTGGTTGTTTTGGTGAACTTCTTGTTTATTTTCTTGTGTTGTACTGCACTCTTTCCTGTTTCGCGGGCGTTATCTCGCATTCGCTGTTCTATATATTTTCGCCCATCTTCTCTGGCACGATTTCGCTATTTTTTCGTTACCGCGAAATCTCCAGCAAACATACTCATTCATCTGGACTATCTCTTCTTCCCTTTTTTGGTTCACGACGGGGATACCGAGTAGAGGCTGAAACGTAATTGGTTTGTAGTACTGTTCATAGTCAACCTCGACTCATACGAAACACTAAACGTTTTCATTCTTTACAAAAATTCATAGTACGTGTATTTCTCTGTACATTTCGACGCTTTACATTTTCTTCTGGCTTTTGCAGTTTTACCTTGGGGCGGTTCTGGTAGTCTTAGGGTCAAAGGTGGCTTACATATTGGTTTTTCTAGAAGCATCCAGAGTTCACAACCGGATAAAATGCTCAATAATTGGTGACTTAATTACACAACATTCCCTAAATGCAGTTATATGGACAAACGTGAACGCACAAAGTGCATGAACTGTTCGTCCAGCATGTACAGGTTATCTAATGACGATCAACATAAAAATAGTGGCAACCATCAGTGTTTTACACTTATTTAGGGTCACTATCAAACTCTTTTTTTACACCCACAACCTAAGTATCTGTACCTACAGTGAAATAAAGCTTCACAGAACATAAATTCTCATCACTTGTTACGAAGTCTGGTGCGATATCCCGAAACTGCACTGTAAGTCGCATACTGATAACTCGTCTGAGATAGCCTAGCGAGGTGATAACTTGAAGTAATTGTATGGCTGGTATTAAACTTCTGAAACTTCTGCTAAATTTTTATACCAGTAACCTTCAGGAATTCATTAAACGTTGGAGATATTGTATTCACGTCGGCTTCTTTCTAGACATCATAATTCGTCGAAAAGCCTAGCGGACGTTGAAAGATTCGCCTTCCAAATTGGATAATTCAGAGGTGGACATGTTATTCATTACTGTGTAAAACACTTGAAATGAAACCTAAAGTGTTTAATGGTTAAATACTTCATCAGTTAGTTGAATTTATACTGTCAGTTTTTACTTCCAAACAAAAGGATCTGTCTCAGACAAATGAACTCATGGTAAATTTTAAGACATGTGACCAGATAACCTATTATAAACTGCTCTAAAAGTTGCGAATGAAGTGACAGGTCTTAGCATATTAACGACATTGGTATTGCTGCTCCAGACGATCTACGTTTAATGTGAGCAGTAACAAACGGTAATCGTTTAATTTACATCATGCAAATCTCTAGCTTGTAATTTAAAGCGTAATTTCAACGTATTCATATTCTCCTAAATTACGTGTTTCATACACACGTAAAGTGGAAGTTTTTGAACGCATGAACCAACAGTCCATTGCAACCCATTAATAATACCATAAATTTGGCCAAAGCAACGAAAGCAGTAATAATTACCTATATACAGTAATATAACTCCTATAGAAGTAAGGAAGGTGATCTTCATAAACGTTTCAGGCATCAGTTACCGATGACTTGAAGATCACAAGTATCTAATAGCTACTCAAAAGTCTGTAAAAATCAACTAACTGGGAGGCATATTGATATCTGGCGCGACTTTCAACTGACATCTGTGTAACGCATTCGAATTCTTACTCTACCAATTAGTTTCGATTACCAGTTAGTTTTGATCTCACACCGTCTTTATTTCTGGTTGTTGTCTATTTATTTCTCTACTTAATGTGAGTGCATTCTGCCTGCTCACTGAGTCGCCCGCTCATCTTTTTATCTTGTTCTTCCAGATAACCTCACGCTGCTCCTCACACAACCCGCACCACACAAGGTACCTCCTGGCTGAACGGAAACCAATCAGAGGCCGGAGTTGCAGCTGGGTAAGGAAAGAAATTGTAATAACTGGCTCGATATATGAATACTGGATATGTACTATATTAATCAAAATTACTGTAGCATAATGAGGTTTTTGGAACTCTCATGATTAACTGGAAATATTTCCATCCAAGGACTTGCTGGTTAGGCTTAAGCATCCAGTAAAAGTTTTAGTACACAGCTTGAATGTTCACTCAAATGTCAGCAAGTCCGGTAAACAAAAAATGGGCTTCTTAAATGCAATATTTTGCGCAGTGTCTTGTTCATGGTTTGTAAAATGCTATGAATTGATACCTAGCTACACAAGTGCCATTAAAGTCTTCAAATTACTCAATGATGGCGGTTGTACGACTTCGTCATGCTATCATTTATAGTCAAGTATTGGGATGATTCTGACATCTGTTTTGTGTTTGTCAGTCTTATGTATTTAGTCTACTAGTGTATACTGCTGCTACTGCTCTGAATGTGTATAGTCAAGGAAGCAGATTCACAAGCATCAATAAAGCCTAATTTGCCTAGGATTATCAACAAGTGATGATGAAACTGATGTGAACTCTTGTATTGTGAAGGAGGATTAGTTTAGTAAGCTTTGTTTTAAAAGTGGCATATTTATATTACAATGCTGGACCGAAGAGATCTCATTTTCGAGGTTGTAGCGTCATTTAAGTACGGATTTGACTGTGTACTGATTATTTTCTATGGCAACCTTCAGTTAGCACTAACAGCTCGTATCATAACAGTGAATTTAGTGAACGAAACATAATGAAGATGTATAATTCTACCGATTCCTACCGGTGAGACAAATCAATTACTTGCACCTGTTACCCTTAAAATGCATAGGCCGCCAGTCGTCATTTTCCAACCAGCTCTAACCTAAGCCTTCATTTCCAGTTCTATCTAATCGCTGTTCATTCTTTTCACGCTTGCTTCCTATTCTCGTAGTAATTTGTTCTCGGATCTTCCTTTTTTCCATTTGCATTGTGACGCAGTTAAATAATTCCCACAATGTATCCACCTTCAGTGTTTATTTGTAAATTCTTCCAAACCAGGAAACGGCTTTGTTCTCTCCTACAGTAGGTTGTTGTTGATAGCGTCTGGCCAACGCATACGCAGTATCTTGCCTAGACAACTGTTAATAAACACTTGTATTATGTAGATCATGGCTTTTGTAGCTATCTGAGTTTCCACTACATTCAGTAGAACTGTCTCGACATTTGTATTGAAAATCCTGACTTGTGTTGGTTGTTAGTTGTTTTGAGTACCAGATGTTCCTCGATTGCAGAAATGCTGCCTCTGCTTTGCCGATTCGTGTCTTTACAACGGCTCCAGACCCATCTTGCATACCAATGATGCTGCTCAGGTATGTGAATGTTTGTATAAACGAAGGAAAGCAGCGGGCCCAGATTAGCTAACTTTTGAGATTTTCGAAGGTAGTGGTCCAGATTTAGCACTAAGATTGACTGACATCTTAGGTAGGACTCAGAAACTGCTCGTAATCCCATTTGAGTGGTCTCAATCCCTGATTGCCCCAATTTATAAGAAAGGACAAAAGTCCTCTTGCGACAGTCACAGAAGAATCAGTTTAACTAATAATATCTAAAATGTTTGATTTTGACCAATTTGGTCTCTCGTGCTGTCTATAATGTTAGCCTCGGTAATATTTCGACGCCTAACTAGAGCATACTCGAGAAAATCAGGCTGGTTTTCGATCTGGATATATCGACCAGATATTCACACTACGTCAGGTCCTGGATCAAAGACACGTTCAGACGCCCCACAATAGTAATATTTCTCGACCTTGCTGGGGCATTTGACTCAGGAGATTGTGAAGTTTTGTGGTAGTGTCTGTCATTACAAGATGTACGGAAGAAGTACATTAACCTTATACAAGCTCTCTACTCGAACACTACTGGTCGAGTAAGAACCAATGGCGAACTGTCATCCGAATGCTTTACTTCAAGGTGTCCGTCAAGGGTGTCTACTTTCCCATTCTTGTCTAGATTTGTCATAGACATGCTCCTAGATATAACCTTATCTTCGTATGACTTTTCAGCAGTGAACCTTCTACCAGGAGATCCACTGGTTGACTTAGAATATGCCAATGACATAGTTCTACTTGGTGAAGACACTGACAAAATGCAGTGTCTCTTGACTTCCCTAAGTAACAATACAAATATGTTCGGGATACGATTCTACCCCTCGAAATGCAAAATGTTGCTTCAAGATTGGCTTGCATCGGCACCTGAAGTAGTTAGTGATAGGGAGTGTATTAGTTGAGCTTTTGATGACTTGCACCACTTATAGAGTAGGCGAGAGATCTGTTTGCTATCATAAGGACAAGTCTACATGGCCACTTAACTGTTTTGCGAACCGTTCCTGAAATATTTTCTTAGAACCCTAAAAGGTTTCCTTGCAGCATCTTTCCGACGTTCATTAATGCAATCGCACTAAATCTCAACATATTCCCTTGAAATAGTGATAGTCTTCTATCGGAACCCTCCATCGGTGGCTGATAGTGATGTGACCGTATGTGACGGGCCCTAAGCATTTGTCCTTAGGGCTGTAACAGCACATGAGACCGAATCGGTCACAATCAAATCCTTTAAAATGTTAGCTCCGCTCTCCAAGTAGCCTTACCACTGGAGACGGAAGTTCGTGCGGTAAGATGGAGTGTGACATTTTTAGAGTGTCTTTGCTAACCCATTTCTTTCTTGTAAGACGGCAGCATCGCTTCAGATGCTGGCTGTCCGAGGGAAGCACCTTACTGCTGTCACACACCCCTACAGTCAGTAGTATGGCTTCGCCCTCAAGCCTTAAGTAGCTGCTTTCAGTCTCATCTCCAATCGACCTGCCTGGCATAACCTACAGAAACGTATGTTCCAGCCAATATAGCTCGGTTGGGTCATCACTATGGGCAGGCCCGACCACCACGTCAAGGTAGCCGCTATGGTCAGTGTTTGTTTGTCAGTAATCTGCCGATCCTTATACGGGTCTATACACTAAAACTTTTGTTGAAATATAGCCATATTAATGATGAACTACACGTTTATATGTGTGATTATTTTAAGTTGCATTTATTGGTACCTGTACAAGCCATATTTTGAGTTTAAGACAGAAGCAAATAAAAGACGTGAAAAGGTTCACTCATCTTCTCATTATAAAAACTATGGCATAGTCCTAATCCCGAGGAACTCTTGAAATTCTGACTTAGTAATTTGACCTCAAGTTGTCAATTTATTTTAGCACTGCTTTAAACTTATCAGATCTTGATGTATGAAAGTGTAAAAATTGGAATCTACTAGGGCAATACACTATTTTAAATAGTAAATATAGACGAACGTTATGGAGTTGAAGCCACTGAGAAACGTGGTACAAACATTTGCGGACAACTAAACTTATTCATGACAATATCTGTATCATCTCTTACTGTTAGTTTCTCTTCTCTGGTCGTGGTCATTGGTACGTGGGTAAAGTCTCTTGAAAACACAGCTCAAATACGACCGCAAGCACATCACAATATTTTTCACTTTCACTAAATCGAGGACATATTACTGTGTATACGTTTTTATGTTCAGTTTAGTACTGTTTTTGGTAGTCTGCACTGTCGCCAAATCTGAAATCTCAAACTAACGCAATTTTGTGGTGAATTTTAGGATTATTCCGTAGAATTATTTTCATAGATAGTATACAGAAGCTTTTGTGTTATACCTTTTTTTCCTAATTAGATGTGAATAATTCTAGTAATCTCAGAATTATCCGGCCACAAAATAATATACTTCGTGTTTGAGAAGCTCACACCAAAACAATGAATATCCTGCCCAAAAAAAGGTAGGCTCCTTTTTTACACACAATAGTGCTTAACAGATGGCATGTTTTGAAAAAAGAAAACATTGCTCGGGTGAGGGCAGATGAAGCAAAATATGATGAGCAGCAAAAAAAGATTGAAGTCAAAGCACAGCTTGCTGTAAAGCACTTTGAAATCTTGGATTGATTTTATGTGTTTAGGATCAGGAAGCACGGATAGATTACTTACGAAGACAAAAAAGTAATAAACTAACATCTAGCTCGGGATTAGATGGATTCCAGATAACAGTAGCAAAGGAGAGTATTGTAAGTTGCGGATCACAATAATCGTATAGCCAAAAGTTAAATGTCTCACAAGGAAACACGGAATACGAAAGTGAGAGAAAGAATGAGCAAGAAAAAAAAGAAAAAGCAGTTGGGATTTTGACTTATTTAGGCCAGACTGTCCTTGATGCTGCTGGTGAGAAGCCGTGGTATGATGTGCACCCTCGAACTCATCAGCAGCGTGAAAGAGAAAAGAAAAAGTAAGCGGTAGCACCCGATGATCATTCAGTAGGGACAAAGAAGAACTGGAAATTAAGAAAAAGAAACTGGCTGACCCATTAACAGAAATGAAAAAGGTTGAGGAAGTATTCAAGCACAACAAAGAACTAAAAAGGCAGAGTGAAGCAGCTGAACTTCAACGCGCCAGTGCTTGCATACGTGCTATGCCAACCTTATTTCCTGATGACATAATGGTGCCGAAGTACCCAAACAGAAAGGTTTGTTTCAGTTAAGTTGTACTTCGTTGGTTTTAAGCTTTACATATGCACCTAGCGAGTTAATCCGTATGATGTCATTTTTTTGTCAACAGGAACTGAAGACTTTTATCATTTTATCGTTAGCCGTCGGTAGATACAGATCAAGAACATCGTTTCATTGATTACAGTGATTCACTGTTCTGCATTGAAACGAACTAATACACATGATATCTGGTTTGTACATAGTTCTTACTTTGATGGTCTATATTGCAGGTAGGAATACCTTCTAGTAGAGCGATGGTCAATTAATTTAATTGCCCATCTACTGGATCACTGAAGTCGCTAATATATCAAACTACCCAAAAGGTGACCCGAAAGCAAGTGCAAGACTCGCTATCTAGTTAAATAAGTCTTCGTTTTTAATAGTTAACTGAAACACTGGGATAATGCACACTACACACATCCCGTAAAATGAATGAGTTGGGAGTAAAGCAGGAAATAACCACAGATTTCCTAAAACATTTCCATTTTCTTTTAATAAGCTATGTAAAAAATACAGATTCTCAGAAGTTTCGGTAATGTAAGGGATTAGCGAAGTTTTCATGCATAAATACGGAAACTCTGGGCATTGCTAGTGAAATCTTTAGGTGGTTTGATGACGACATTAATTTTTGTCTAAAATTTAAGTAAAAGTTTGGTTTCCTGAGGTTCTACTTACTCCACTGTTGTCGCAAACCTTATATCGAATGTACTGCAAGCAAGTAGTTACTGAATTTCGTTTTGTCCATCATTGTGACGAATATCCGCATAACCTAGGACTTGCATGATTGTGCAAGTCATTCCGAAAAAGTGAAGATATCTCCAGTTCGTTACACATGTACATTACGATTTTAAATATAACGTATGTTTATGGCACTAATGTTATCTCTGGAACCAATATTTGTGACGAAAGTGGTCTTCTGTATCAAAGTTTTTCGTTCATATAGGCCTCAGGAAATCAGCAAACAGTCAATACATTTAATCAGTCGCCTAACGAAACTTCATGTAATCTATCTGGAGAGCTAACAAAAGAAGACTTATCCGTAGAAATTTCGCTGGGTCCCGGAAATACGAATAAGAAATCTAGTTTAGTTGAAATGGCCAAAAGTTCTGATATTAATCGTCTTCGAGCTGAGAGATTGCAACGCGAACGGAAGGAAAGAGACAGGGCTGCTGTTTTGCTAGCTAAATCTTTTGGTTTAGATGCTCTAAAACCTCCAGATCAAGAAGAAGTGCACGTAGACGAACGGAACCTACCTTTTAATTCTGCATTTAATCCTGAACTGTCAGCTATCTTGGCTGAACGACGCCAACGACACCGCGAGTCCAAAAAGCGGCGTCACGAGGTGGACTAAATCTTTGGAGGTAGCAGTATTGTCAGTTGTACATATATATTTATATATAGCGTTTTTTTCATTTTCACAAGTGATCTAAAACCGTTGCTACCTATTATGCATGAGTACCTCATTAGTTGACAAGAAGTTCAACTAAAACTTTTAGCTATCAGTTTTGTTTTCCGAAATATAACTGCTCTTTATTTGTGATTTTAATTTGGTTTGTATAATTATTATGGTTGATATAAATATAAGCTAATCATAGGTTGGCAATTTTGTCATCATATCGATCACGACCAGTTTATTCATCTAATGTTGCTTATTATCTGGAAATAAACTAATTAGTACGCATGCGTAAATACTTCTGTGTGAGTAATCGTGGCATTCATTAGTGAACAACGAACAAGTATAGCCTTTTTCAAAAAGATTGACTGAAAATTAATAAGTCAAATAGATCCTAACTGTCCTACTATTAAGAACATGCTGTAGAACAATCAGTCAGCTACAATGCAGAATCTGGTACGTACGTACATCAGTTCAAGTTGCAATACCACAATATCACGGAGATGGAATCGTTAGTTCAACTCCCGTAATAGTAGAGGGTGTAGCACTATTCGCAGTAATGAAAAGTGTAAGGAGAAGATATGGTTCGAGAGGTATAACTCAGTGAAACAAATTCAAAAGTCAAGGAAATCAGATCAGAATTTAAGAATACGTGCTATAGAGCACATATTCTTAGCAACCAGTGACAATCGAGAATGCATATTGGGCGTCCGCTAACTACCAAGCGTATGGTTAGTAGAATTACTCATCAGCCTTGTCTGATATATATCTCCGAGATCAAGCAGCTTGTGGTTTTAGTCAAATGGAACAGATATAGCCAACAAACGTTTACTTTCAAGTCGTCTATTCTAGCATTGAACGTACATTCACATACCCATGTGCAAGAATAAAAGCAGTTTTCCTCAAGTATGTGCCTATTAATTTTCGGTTTAATCAGTCATCTCTAGAGGTGCTGATGATTTACAGGTTACGTGGTACCTTACTCTCACATTCCTCTAACACAATCAATAGTACGGCTTTACTCTCAGATATGGATTGAGTGTGGGTCCCATACTTTCTGATTATTGAGGATTGAAAGCTTTCCTAAAGCGAAATAGGATCTGTGTACACTATAGATTTCTTCCCAACTGTGGAGATTCAGCACTATGTTGAACAGTAGATTAAAATAATAGCCGGTTTCTGAGCTTGAGTGTGACATAACATAATTTATTCACGATGAAGTATGTTCACTCTTGTTTTGTGATACTGTTCTCTGTTGGAGTAGGGTGAATGCGGTGTAGTTAATGTACACAAAGAAATGAGTATTCACACAATCGCTAAGTGAACATGGGAATTGAAAAACAACCACTATTACAATGAAGAAGTATAACTAATTTGTGGAAAAATCTAGCGTACTGCAATAGCTACAGTTCTGAAGCTAAAACAATTGCTGAGCTGTTTCGTACTTAAATTAAATACAAGTGCCCCAAACCGGTTAATAATACAAAAAACCAACGACTTGGATTGAAACTGAAAGAAAATGTTTACAAAGTATGTAGTATTAAAAGTACAAATATTGGGAGGAAGCTGTAAGTCTTCGGATGATAAATATTTGTAATGTGTGTTAGCAATGTAAACAGGTAACTGAACAGACACTGAAACTTTCATATATACTTGTAAGTTAAAGAAAACAGGAAACATTGCCTTAAACTATACACACTTAACATCCAACATACTACGACTTTCTTAACAATTCTAAACAATCATTAGGAATATCAACACCTTCAATAGTGCTATCCACTGAGAATATTTGTTCAATTACAGAAGTAAAACATTTGCTCAGTTGAAACATTGTAGGTCGCATCTTGGGATTTACAGCCCAACCACTGAAAAACGGAGAGCATCAGAAAAAAGTAAAATCCGAAAATAACATGACGAATACAATGTCCGAAACAAAAAAAATCCATTGCAAGCGACTTTTGGAGTGACAAGCCGGCAACAATCGTGGTATATGAGATACTTAAAAGGAATATGGCTTTGTATTCCACGATTGCTTTAGCGAAACATTATCTATGGAGATATTTTTAACATCATAAGTAAAAATACTGTAGCAAGTGAGGCTGTATTATTGGCAAATTAGCAAACGATAATTAGATGCAGTTAACTACGGTATTTCTGCACCGAAATGCCCTGACGCTGTCGAGAGTAGGGAGAGTCCACTCCCTCTATCGACGTGTACTCATATGATAACGTATATAAAGTCACTGATAAATAAGGCCTACTCACTGCCTTCTTGTGGCGAGGAAGCTATTTTTTATAAAATTGGGAGAACAAAAGTCGAGTGTCCGGCGCCTAAACCAGGTTTGCTGGCATGGATAGTCTACCTAAGTGGGTCGGGAAACTCTGATTTCAAACCAATGGTACACATGGACCCAAGGATACTAGTGGGACAAATGGAGTACGAACCGATAGTTACTCACCGGCTACCGCTGAACTTCATACCCTGATGTTCCTCCACTGTTTTTTGGATTAGACGTTTGTGTCAAATTTTCGGGGAGTGACCTTCCAAGATAACCACCTACTTCGGTTTGGGCACCCGTGCAATACCCCAGCCTGTTCACTAAGTCAATAATTTGTGTGGCGCATCGAACTCTAGGTGCTCCATTGTACCAGTGTTTGTGTTCAAACGAACCAAATAAACAGGTATACGTGCAAATGCTGCTTCGAATCAATAAGTTTGATCTAGGGATATAATGGGATTTGACTCCACCTGTTGCTCCCTCTGGGGCTTCTGCCGGTCCCAAGCCCGGATAAAGGAGGACTGATGTTGGCGACCACAACCTACAAAAAAACGAACTCACTAAAAAACACTAACCAGAAAAATTAATCCAAACCATTTTGACTCGGCCCTGGGAGTGAGAATGTCTTTTTCATAGGAGTAATGGTGTCTCATGATGATAGCCGAGTTCCATCACAAGTCACGACTATTTTAGGTACATAGAATATTCCAACACTGTGTGGGACCAGAAGACTGTTCCTAATTGCTACAGAGATGAAAAGATACAACTTGCAGGTGCTTGGAATCAGTGAAACGTATTAGACGAGTGTTGGATAACTAAGACTAGCTTCAGGAGAGATGCTGTCATACTCCGACCATGAAGAAGAAAATGCTACACACAGAAGTCGCACTGATGCTGTTCAAACAAGCACAAAAGGCACTGATAGCATGAGAATCTCATGGACCCAGGATAATACAAGCATCCTTCAAAACAAAGAAAGAGGACATTACAATGAACGTCATCCAATGCTATGCACCTACCAATGACTACAATGGCAGATCAATTTTACGAGGCTGCAGTCAGTCGTCGACAGATGCTCATCAAAGGATTCAACCATTCTGATGGGGGACCTAAATTCCAAGGTTGGCATGGACAACACTGGATATGAAGACATAATGGGACCACATGGGCTGGTAGAAAGGAAAGAAAATGGTAAGAGATTCGCAAACCTATGTGACTTCAACAAACTGATCATAGGCGGCACAATATTCCCACACAAACGCATATACAAAACCACACGGATTTCACCCTATCACTACTCAGGACCAAATCCACTCAATAAAAACTTCAGAAGGATCATGCAGGACATGAGAACCAAGAGAGGACCTGACTTAGCCTCAAATCATCAATTGCTGGTCTCTAAAATGAAACTGAAACTCAAGAAGCACATTACAAATGTTTAATACGGCCTTTCCTCAGGACACCGTAAAACTCAACGCACTCAATATAGCCCTCACCAATAGGTTCCAGGCCTTGCACGATCTACTCAATGGAGAACAATTGGAAAGGGACCAAAGAGGCGATCGCTTCGACATGTCAGGAGTTTCTGGGTCATGAGATTTTTGTTGGTACTCCTCAGAAAACTTGAGAGAGGAGAAACAAGAAGACAGAAATCAACATCAGCCGAACAAGAGCAGAGAAAGCCAACGCACAAGCTGAATACACAGAAGCAAGCAAATGAAGAGGGGCATCAGAGCCGACAAACGCGAATGAGTGGAAGATCTAGCAGTGACAGAGGTAAAGGCTGCAAGAGAAGGAAACATGAGACAATTGTACGATACAACAAAGAACCTCGCTGGAAACCATCATAAACCGGAGTAACCAAAGAAAACAAAAAAGTTGAAGTAATCACGGACATTGAAGAACAGCGATACTGGTGGACAGAGCACTTGGAACAACTCTAGAATCGACCAGACCAACTGAACCCACCCAACATCGAAACAGCAACCACAGACCTCCGAATTGATGTTGACCCACCAATAATTGAGGGGGTCAGTATGGCCACCTGACATATCAAGAGCGGCAAAGCAGAGGGACCAGACAAAATTCCAGCAGAGGCAATGAAAGCAAACGTGGCAGCAACTGCAAAATTACTCCACATTCTCCTCAACAAGATTGAGGATGAAGAAAAAGTACCATAGACTGGAAATAAGGATACCTGATCAAAATACCAAAGAAAGGTGATCTCAGCAAGTGTGAGAACTACAGAGGCATCATTTTTCTCTCAATACCAGGGTGTTGTTAAACAGAATGAAGGACTTCGTAGATGCCCAACTTCGAGATCAACAAGCTCGATTTCGTAAGGATCTACTGTGTACTGACAAAATTGCAACATTACGGCTCATTGTGTAACAATCAGTTCAATGGAACTCACCACTCTGCATCAAATTCATTGACTGCGACAACGTAGATAGGATATGGAGGCTTCTTCAACACTACGGCGTGTCTGAGTAGATAGTCGACATCATACGGAATTCTTACGATTGATTAAACTGAGAAGTCGTGCTCGGAGGACAGCTCACAGACTCGTTCGAGGTGAAGACCGGAGTAAGGTAAGGTTGCCTACTCTAGCCCTTTCTCTCTCTCCTGGTGATCGACTGGATTATGAAAACGCCAACATCTGGAAGGAAGCACGGTATACAGTGGATAGGCAGGGTGCAGCGCAGATGATCTGGCTCCTCTGTCGCATACGCAACAACAAATACAAGAGAAGACGACCAGTGTAGCAGCAGCAGGTCTCAATATACATAAAGGGAAAAGCAGGATTCTCCGATACAACAAAACCACACTTGATGGAGAAGTTTTGGAGGATGTAGGAACCTCCACATTTCCGGGCAACATCATTGACGAACAAGGCGGATCTGATGCAGATGTGAAGGAGCGGATTGGCAAAGCAAGGGCTGCATTTCTACCACTGAACAACATCTGGAACTCCAAACAAACAATCAACACCAAAATCAGAATTTGAAGCACAACTGTCAAGACAATTCTACTGTATGAGGCGGGATTTCACAGAACTACGCAAGCCATCATCCAAAAGATACAAGTATTTATTAACAGTTGTTTATGCAGAATACTTCGGATCCGTTGACCAGACACCATCAGTAACAACCTAGTGTGGGAAAGAACCAACCAGATTCCAGTGGAGGAGGAAATCAGGAAAAAGCGTTGGAAGTGGATAGGACGCATTTCGGAAAACACCCGACTGAGTCACAAGACAAGCCCTCACTTGGAATCCTCAAGGAAAAGAGGAAGACTGGGGAACACAATAGGTCGAGAAAGGGAGACACACATGTGAAGAATGGACAAAAATTGGACAGAACTAGAAAAGGAGGCCCAGGACAGAGTAGGCTGGAGAATACTGGTTCGCGGTAAATACTCCATTGGAGGTAACAGGTGTAAGTACGTACGTAAGATAAGCCCAATTATCAACACTAACGAGGTTAAACTTTAGTGGGTAAAACACTCTCTTTAGATATGTTGATAAAGTACGCTTAACTTATGGAGATCGATGATTTTGTAAATCCGCAAAGGTTCTAAACAATATTTCATGGGAATATTCAGAAAACTTATGGTCTTTATTAAAACACTAGAATCACAAAGTTCAGCGAAAAGACCGCTTCTTTGAATGTTGTGTTAACATCGTAGCTTTTTCCCAGTCGATTTTCTGATTACTATGAACCTAGCTTTGAGTAAACCTACTGTCAAGTGCTTCAACTACCAGTTCAGCTGCGTGGAGAGTGTGCATAGCGTACCTTAGTCATTAAAAGTTGGCCAAATTTTTGAATGAACTAAGACAGTTACATCAACATCATAGTACATCAGAGAATTAGTCTGTTTTCTGTCCTTATCTGATTGCGTAGTGAGTCAAAATAGGCGCTAAAGTCTTGGTTGTTGTTCATAGATCTGTTTCATTTAAAAAAGACCACCAGTTCTACAGGCAATCATGGGTGAACTAATTCACAAACTAGAGAATACTACGACTCGATCACAGGGCTCCATTCTTAGCAGGTATTTAATTGTTAAATTAGCTAACTGGCGTATACCTAATAGTTTAATTAATTCTTCCATTTGCAACATATTGAGATCTATTATTGCGAGTGTTTTTCGTCCGGAACTAGTAGGAAGAAATGACTTACTTCTCAATAATAATGTTTAGTAATTCAGGACATCCATTTAATGTAGGTGGTCGCTGAGTAATAGAAGACCAAAACTTGTCTGATACGTCACGTCTTTCTAAGATTTTACATGGTGGTTGGCGAGCTAGGAGTTCCCAAAATGTAACTGTTAAACTGTAGACATCTGATTTTTCTGAGTACGGTAGTTTTTCGCCTGGATATATTTGTTGGTGAGGCAAAACCGAAATGAAATAAGCGAAGATAAAAAAATGAAAGAGAAGATAATCGATACAGATAATTAAAGTGTAGCATGTTTACTTAAAATAATGAGTTAGATCGGCAATACTGAATAAACAAGATATTCGTCTGATAAACCGTTTATTACATTTTGGTAATGTAATCCAGAAACGATGTTCTATGCATAGATGGCGATAGACCCACGTTTATCATCCTTGAAGTGAATTCGGATCCAAACGCTGAAATTTTTGTACTCATTGAGTGCCAAAGAGTGTATCAGATAAAACCAAGTGTGATTTGATTAGTTTCTACCACTGACCATTAGTGTGAGTTTATTTATAGTCTTTCTAGTGAATAGTTTTGACTTATGGAAAATCCTCAGTATTTTTACGATGAGAAATCTACTGATAATGATGAGGGGGGTTTTACATATTTTATAAACTGATTTTCTGTTTGTAAGATAACTATAAGTGACTACAGTTAGGATATTTTGTATTGGGATGATATAATAAACGAATTTATATAGGTTAGGGGAAATGATAAACTCAGCAATTCATATTTACTTACCATTTTGTACTGTCCATAGTTCTGGGGCCATATAACATAGAGTTCCAAAAATAGAAGGTTCATCAGACAACGTAGTTCTGGATGATCCAAAATCACTTAATTTGACTAAACGCAGACTATCAAAGCCTAAAATATTGGACGGTTTTATATCTGCATGAATAACTGAGGGGGAACATGAATGATGTAAATAGTCTGAAGCGCGGCTAATTTGCAGTATCCAATTCAAAGTATTAACCAGGGTATAGTGGACTCCAGGGAAGTCATACAACACTAAATAGCAAAACAAAGTTTTATAAGGTTTATATGTAATTTTACAGGACATACTTCGATGAACACGACGAAAATGTGTCAGAATGTAGAGCAATAGCTTAACAGTTAAAGCCTTTGACTTCCAACCAATAAATACCAGGTTTGAAGACCGTCATATCTACTTCAATTTAAGAAGTAAGCCAGTGACAGTAGTCATTGAGTAAACAATGTTGTTTAAAACCAAATTATGGTTTGGCAAGTACATATTTATTAAGTTGTTTGAAATGAAAGACAATCTGGTGACTCAGTAACTTGAAACATAACTACGCTACTTTTCGTAGAGCAACTACACAAATGGTATCAACTTAGTCTGCCGCCGAACAAAATCGACCAATTTCAGCAGAGTATATTTTTGGTATGTTTTGAATACTTAGAGGTGTTCGGACCATCATTTAATCTCCGGAGTGCAATTTTCGACATCAACGCAACTAATGGTGGTTTTCAGACGGAACTAGCAACAGCTTTATCTAATGTTTTGATCACAAAATATTAGGCTTCTTTTGTCATTCACATAGGATTTTTTTAAATCTGAAAGACTGTAGGTAATACATGGCCTTTTCGCATAAACTCATATTAGTCAACAAACGTTCTCGCCCATCAGCTTCAACACACATAGATAAATAGGGTAAATATTAAGGATTAAGACAGACAAAATGATTCCAGACTGCAAAACACAAGTGATAACTTTGAAAAGTGTGAACGCAGCAGACTGTTTCATTACAAATTTCGTTCAGACTTTAGGTACGAAAACATGCTCGTTTTGTCATTTCAGATTAAATTCGCTAATTAATCAGATAAGATTAAATATAACCGAATTTCCCATAGAAACGAACAATGGATGTAGAAAAGTTTGAATTACGGGGATAATATATTGCATAAAAACGTACAAAAATTTTTCAACTTCTCAAATGATTATGCGCGATATTTCAAAATCTAATCACTGTATTATGTTGTAACATTATGATCGTTTTATACGACTGGGATTATGATATGGTTATGATTAACAGTAGACTCGGTAAGCAATGAAGAACACAGCGAACATACATTATCAAGGAAAACCTTGATAACTTTTTCGTTAAACTATTAGCTCGAATTTGATGAAAATGATATAAAAAAGCGAATATAGTTTAGATAATTTTAACTTAATTAGCGACTGCACGGAAAAGACGTTGGGATTTTAAACAAAAAAACAAAATCTAATACGAACACCGTGAGGCCGACGATAAAAGTCAATCAGATATTCCGTTACAACGAACAACTTCATACGTACCTAAATCAGCTCAAGTTTCCATACCACATTAGCACAGAGATACAATTGTCAAATCAAATCCCTTAGTAGTAGAGGTAGTAAAAGTATTAGCAGTAATCAGAGAGATTAGGGTTCGAAGATATTATTCAAGAAGTAGAATCTAGTGAAATAAACTTAAAAAGATAAAGGTGGTGTTTAATCCAGAAGGTTAGGATTTGAGAGAACACAAAGAATAAATGCACCGGCGCCATTGCAAACGATTTTGAGCCATGTCGTTCAAGGTCTCTAACCATTAGTGAATTTCGTCTCGCGGACCCCAACCAGGTAGCCTGCCTACCAACATGACTCAGTCCACTTGTCAGTGACTTCATGGATTTGTGCCATGTTTCGGTTTGGCCGCCCCTAGCTTTCTTCCAACCTACTCCTACACCACAAAACATAGCTCGTCGAGGCAGTCAGTTGTTAGGCATACGTAACACTTGTCCCAACCACCTCAACAGATGAAGTTTCAATACTTCATCTACTGATCCTCCATCCTTACCTAGAACTCGTTTCCTAACGATAGCATTGCTTACTCGGTTGTCCCATGATACTCGAGCAATGCTTTGGAGACACCGATGATCGAAGACTAGTAACCTACGGAAAACCTCTACTCTAAACGGCCATGTTTCACAACCATAAAGCATGACGGAGCGAACTACTGCGCAGTACACTCGTTCTTTGGATAGCAAACGGATATCTCTGCTACATCACAAGTGACGCAAGTTGATAAAAACCGATCGAGCCTTCTGTATCCGTGCTGAGATTTTGTCGGCCATCAGGCCCTCAGCATTGATGAGATTGCTGAGATAAGTGAAGCGGTCAACACGCTCAACTGATTCACCCTCTATCACTAACTAGTTCAGGTGCCGATGCAAGCCAATCTTGAAGCAACATTTTGCATTTCGAGGGGTAGAATCGTATCCCGAACATATTTGTATTGTTACTTAGGGAAGTCAAGAGACACTGCATTTTGTCAGTGTCTTCACCAAGTAGAACTATGTCATTGGCATATTCTAAGTCAACCAGTGGATCTCCTGGTAGAAGGTTCACTGCTGAAAAGTCATACGAAGATAAGGTTATATCTAGGAGCATGTCTATGACAAATCTAGACAAGAATGGGGGAAGTGGACACCCCTGACGGACACCTTGAAGTAAAGCATTCGGATGACAGTTCGCCATTGGTTCTTACTCGACCAGTAGTGTTCGAGTAGAGAGCTTGTATAAGGTTATTGTACTTCTTTGGTACATCTTTCAATGACAGACACTGCCACAAAACCTCAGGATCCACAGAGTCTAATGTAGCCCTAAGGTCACGGAAGACAACTATTTTCGGATGCCTAAATGTGTGTCTTTGTTCTAGGACCTGATGTAGTGTGAAGATGCGGTCTATACATCCACGTCCAGATTAGGAACCAACCCGGTTTTCTCCAGTCTGCTCTTCACGAGCTCTAAGGATTATCGAGGCTAACAATTTAGAAGCTATATTAGTTAGACCGATTCTTCTGTGATTGTCACAAGAGGACTTTTGTCATTTCTTATAAATTGGGACAATCAGGGATTGAGAACAGGTGGATGGGATTACTCTCAGTTCCCAAATTCCACTGAAGATCTCAGTCAATCTAACTGCTAAAACTGGTTCAATACCCTTATAAATCTCAGGAGTCAATCTATCAGGTCTTGCTGCTCTCCCTCACTTCAGATTTCTCATAGCTTTCCCAACTTTATAAAGAGTCGTAGGACTTGCGTTGATGTGCCAGTCAGGTTCAATGGAGATCGTGGACAAACAAAGTGTGGCTAAGGCCAATTGAACTGATCCCTAAAGTGTTCTGACCATCGATCCAGCGAATGAATAATAAGATCATCCTTTCCTGAAACAGTCTCACTTACATTCGGATTCTGAATACCGGTTTCCTTGATAAGTCTGAACGGTTGTCTACTGTTGCCCATCATCGCTGCCTTTTCCATCTCTATCGCTTTCGCTAACCACCACCGTTTGCGATCATTGTGTAGGCTTTTTATAAGCCTGCGCTTAAGCTGAGTTTGCTCTTCATCATGTTCAGAGCCAGGACGGATGAGTATTTGAGCATCCATCAGTTCGGTAGATGCTACTGAAATCCACCGCTTCTCCCTAACATTGTGGTTTACCTTACTAGCAGATATCACTGCTGATTCCACAGCTTTTTGAATATCATTTCAAGCTGCCTCCAGATGGGAATCACTTACATGGTCGCCTTAGCTATCTTTCTAGTTGCTCCTGAAATACATTATTAGCTGTGTTATCATTAAGTAGAACCCTCAGGGGTTTCCTTGCGATCTATTTCCAATGTCCAGTAAGCCGCAAACAAATACGCGCTCGCACTAGATCATGGTCTGAATCTAAACAAGTGTTCCAGAATGAGTGGCAGTCTTCAATAGAGCCTCCCCACCGATGGCTTATGGGGATGTGATCCAGTTGGGTCTATCGTTATCGACCCATGACATTATTTTACTTCTGTGTGCAAATAGCATATCTAATAAAATTATATAATTATAAACTAAATACTCACATGATGATACGTTTAAGAAACTTAAGTGGAGTTTAACCAAGGATTAAAAACATTCTTAGTTAGTGCTGTGAACGTAGATGATTTACATCAAGTCATTGACATGTGGGCTGAGTCATGTTGGTACATATAGACTATCTGATTGGGGTCCACGAGACGATATTAACCGTTTGTTGTGGCGCACGTGCTTCCACTCTTTGTACTTTCTCAAATTCTAATTTTTTAAATTACTCACCAACTTAATCTTTCTCTTTCAAATTTATCTCACTGAATTATACTTGCATTTCGAACCCTAATCTTCTTATCCATAACTGCTGATATTTCTACTATTTCCACTACTATGGTATTCGAACTGACAATTGCGTCTTTGTGCTAACGTGGTATGGTAACCTGAACTTATGTACGTACGAACAAAGTTCTACGTTGTAAATGGCTGACATAAAGACGAAGAAATAACGCACAGGTCTTATTACTCAAACAATTAAACCACAACCATGGGCTTCCAACTATAATAATTGACCAGGGTTCTTAAAAATGATCTGCGTAAGATTTAAAACTGTTTACATCACACGTCGCTCAGTTATTTGATCAACTTTGAGTATTTTTTTATTGGTGTCTACTAGAATCATTTGTGTGAACGATATATTGTTGGAGGTAAAGTGTAGTGAATTATAGAAGATTAGATCCTGGTTACAAATTAAAACCAGGTAAATAAGTATACGCAGAACCACTAACGATGAAATGTGTTTACAGTTGAAGTAAACTGAAAATTTAAGAAGTGTGTATGTAGCCAGAGTTACAATCCAATAATCTATAAAGACAATAAATGAACCAAGAAGCGTATGGTTGTTAATCGCGGTCATCAGAAAATTTTTACAGATGACTGAGAATCTAGATGACACAAGTAAGATCTTATTCTGTTGGAGTAGCAGTATTTACATTATTCTAGTCTAATCGTATTTGACCTATTCACCACTTATCCTAAATTCCATCAGTATTTTAATTCCTTATCTTTTCTGTACTAAATTTTTGCAAATGAATGTTTTGGCGGTGAGATGTTGAGTCAAGTTTAAATGATAAATAAAATCATAAATGATCTTAGAGTCCAAGCAAATTGCAGCTGATTCATTTGCTACAGTGAAACTACTATACTATAACTTACTCCCTTTTGAAGTAGGCACTGATTATGTTCTCAACTACTTGGATTCAAAAAAAAACAATAATACTGAAAGTTGAGGGTTTATAGAAGACTAATTTGTTTTGTTCCTTGAATATTTTTAATGTAATGATTGAAAAATGAGAAAATCAAGTGATACTAACAGTGGGATTTACCGTTTTGTAATGAATGACAATTGGCATACTCAAGGACCAAGAAAGAACAATCTGATGGAACTGAAGGTCCAGCGGCAATCAACTGTATGATATTTTGATGGTTAAACTGAGAAATAAGTGATAATTCTTTTTGGGCTAGGGGCTTATATTTCTCATGAAAGAATTTAACTACAACTTTCTCTCCATCCCAAACTCCAAGATATACATTAGAGAATGAAGTGGTTGCTAAAGTAAACTGAACAAATAAGTTAAGTGAAAAGTGGGAAGCAACTACCTTGTCTTTAAGAATTTTCTCCACGAGTTTGTTATTTATGCTGAGGGGTTTATGGCAAGAAGTATCTGTCATACTTCACCACCCTAATGTGAAATGAGTATCCATGAGAAACAAGAAAAAAGTTCAAGTGTATGGGTTAAAGTTTTTCAAGGCGCGTACGTTGGAACAAATAACTTAAATGTGTGCGGTTACCTAAAAACAAGATTGCAACATTAGGGGGTATTAAGATAAAGTTTTACGAACCTTTTCTTATTTATGTAACAACTGATACTCTAAGTTAAAAAAAAATGTTTAAAAACATCCATCTTTTAAAATGGTTGTTTATATATTTTGCTTTGCATATCAGACTTATCTTTTCAATTCAAAAATAATTCAAACCATGTTAACTCTGCTCTGAGAGTTAAGTCTTCATTTAGAAGAGTTATGAAAGTCGAGTTGCTTCGACGTTACGAGGTCGATGACCCTTCTGACAACCCGAGAAACAGAGCTCTTCCACGGCGTGAGAGGCCAGGAAATAATATCCACCCTCATACCCATAACAGCACACGAGACCGAATTAGTCACAATCGAATCCTGTCTACAACTAGTAACTCACTTATCTCCCGACCGAAGCTGCTACCTTGACGTGGTGGTCGGGCTTGCCTATCGCGATGACCCAACCAAGCTATATTGGCTGGAACTTATGTTCCTTAAGGTTCTACCATGCCAGGCAGGTCGATTGGAGAACGATGAGACTAAAAGCAGCTACTCAAGGTCTGAGGGCGAAGTCATACTGCTGACTGCAGAGGGGTGTGACAGCAGTAAGGTATCCCCCTCGGACAACCAGCACCTGCAGCGATGCTGCCTTCTCACAAGGAAGGAAGGATTAGAAAAGGTCGACCCTAAAAATGTCACACCTCCCCTTACCTCACGGATTTCTGTCTCCGGCGGTAAGACCAAGAGCAGAGCTAAAACTTCGAGAAAACTCATGAAAAGGCCGTGCGTGACCGGCCTCAAGGACTTATCCCTTGGGCTCTGCGGTCACGCTCACAGGTATCGATGACCAACGCTAATCTACCTTCCTTTTCAGGTTCCTCAAGAAACAACCTTCCACGGTGTGGGCAGCCGAGAAGTGACAACCACCCTCATACTCGTAACAGCACGCGAGACAAAATTGATTACAAACAAATTCTTCCTACATCACCTAACATTTCTCTTATCTTCACGACTATCTCTTCTCACATTCCCTTATCATTCCGTATGGCTGATGCAAGCGAGTTCACGAAACGTTATTCCTGGTCTCTTGAAACCTCGTTCTCAACTACATGTTGTATCATTTAATGTCCGGACATTGTGTCAAATAAAGCAACAGGCTTCCTTAGCTAGGACTTTGGAATCTCGAGCCCTCGATGTATGCTATGTCTCCGAAACGCGCATAAAGGATCCTATTGAAATCATCAATTTGGTTTCACCTTGTCAAAACAAAGAAGCAGCCAAATTTACTCTTCGCATATCCGGTAGCCCTGATGCTGCTTCCAGGGGTCTCACTGGTGTAGGTATAGCATTGAGTAAGACGGCAGAACTAGCTCTCTTAGACTGGATCCCAGTAGATAGTCGCTTGTGAGCTGTCCGACTGAACGGGACAGTAAGGATTCGAAAAGACAGGGACACTCGCCGTCGCCTCTTCGTCGTATCTGGCTACGCTCCCACTGATAGCAGTTCAGACGAGGTTAAAGATGAGTTTTACAGAAAGCTTTCGGACCTCCTCCAAAACGTTAGGCACTCTGATGTAGTAATAATGGTTGGTGACTTTAACGCTCAAGTAGGTAGACTAAGTGAAAATGAAAGACACCTGGGTGAATGTTATGGTGTCGCGGCTCAGAGAACAGACAATGGCGACAGTCTGTTGCAACTGTGCTCAGATAACCGCCTATTCTTAGCAAACACTAACTTTAGGCATAAGGAAAAACATCTCTTGACCTGGCGACTCCCAAAGTCGTCTCAACGTTGTACCCAACTTGATCACATTGCCATCAGCCACCGATGGAGAGGTTCGATAGAGGACTGTCGCTCGTTCTGGGGCACATGTTTAGATTCAGATCATGCCCTAGTGTGAGCGCGTATTTGTTTGAGGCTTACCTGACGTAGGAAAGACACCGTAAGGAAGCCTCTTAGGGTTTTACTTAATGATAATAAAGCTAGGAATATATTTCAGGAGGAACTAGAAAAGCAGTTGGGCAACCATGCAAGTGATTCCTATCCGGAGTCAGGTTGGAATGATATCAGGAAGGCTGTAGAAACAGCAGTGATATCTGCTAGCAAGGTAAAGCATAAGATTAGGATGAAGCCGTGGATTTCAGTCGCATCCCTGGAACTGATGGATGCCCGAGAAGGCATCCCAGCTGGCTATGAACATGACGAAGAGCGAAGTCAGCTTAGGCGCAGACTGATAAAAAGCCTACGTAACGACCGTGAACAGTGGTGGGTGGCGAAATCAAAAGCGATATAAAAGGCAGCGGCGATAGGCAACACTAGACAACCTTTTCGACTTATCAAGGAAACTGATATTAGGAATCTTACTGTAAGTGCGACTATCTCGGAAAAGGATGGGACTATTACATATTCTCAATCCAGGATATTGGATCGATGGGCAGAAAACTTTAGGGATCAGTTCAACTCGCCTTCAGCCACACTTTGTTTGACCACGATCTCCAGTCATCCTGAATGACAAGTCGACGTAAGCCCTACGAACCTTTATGAAGTTGAAAAGGCTATAAGAAATCTGAAGCGATAGAGAGTAGTAGAACCGACAGTCAGTCAGTTGCAACGTAGAACCGACAGATGGACTCCTGAGATTTTTAGGGATGCTGGTCCAGTTTTAGCAGCTAGGTTGACTGAAATCTTAGGTAGGATCTGGGATTTAGACGTAATCTCATTTGACTGGTCCCAATACTTCATTGTCCCAATTTATAAGAAAGGATGAAAGTCCTCTTGTGACAATCAGTGTCTGTCATTGAAAGGTGTACCAAAGAAGTACAATAACCTTATACAAGCTCTCTACTCGAACACTACTGGTCGAGTAAGAACCAATGGCGAACTGTCATCCGAATGCTTTACTTCAAGGTGTCCGTCAAGGGTGTCTACTTTCCCATTCTTGTCTAGATTTGTCATAGACATGCTCCTAGATATAACCTTATCTTCGTATGACTTTTCAGCAGTGAACCTTCTACCAGGAGATCCACTGGTTGACTTAGAATATGCCAATGACATAGTTCTACTTGATGAAGACACTGACAAAATGCAGTGTCTCTTGACTTCCCTAAGTAACAATACAAATATGTTCGGGATACGATTCTACCCCTCGAAATGCAAAATGTTGCTTCAAGATTGGCTTGCATCGGCACCTGAACTAGTTAGTGACAGAGGGTGAATCAGTTGAGCGTGTTGACCGCTTCACTTATCTCAGCAGTCTCATCAATGCTGAGGGCCTGATGGCCGACAAAATCTCAGCACGGATACAGAAGGCTCGATCGGTTTTTATCAACTTGCGTCACTTGTGATGTAGCAGAGATATCCGTTTGCTATCCAAAGAACGAGTGTACTGCGCAGTAGTTCGCTCCGTCATGCTTTATGGTTGTGAAACATGGCCGTTTAGAGTAGAGGTTTTCCGTAGGTTACTAGTCTTCGATCGTCGGTGTCTCCAAAGCATTGCTCGAGTATCATGGGACAACCGAGTAAGCAATGCCGTCGTTAGGAAACGAGTTCTAGGTAAGGATGGCGGATCAGTAGATGAAGTATTGAAACTTCGTCTGTTGAGGTGGTTGGGACATGTGTTACGTATGCCTAACCACCGACTGCCTCGACGAGCTATGTTTTGTGGTGTAGGAGTAGGTTGGAAGAAAGCTAGGGACGGCCAAACCGAAACATGGCACAAATCCATGAAGTCACTGACAAGTGGACTGAGTCATGTTGGTAGGCAGGCTACCTGGTTGGGGTCCGCGAGACGAAATTCACTAATGGTTAGAGACCTTGAACGACATGGCTCAAAATCGTTTGCAATGGCGCCGGTGCATTTATTCTTTGTGTTCTCTCAAATCCTAACCTTCTGGATTAAACACCACCTTTATCTTTTTAAGTTTATTTCACTAGATTCTACTTCTTGAATAATATCTTCGAACCCTAATCTCTCTGATTACTGCTAATACTTTTACTACCTCTACTACTAAGGGATTTGATTTGACAATTGTATCTCTGTGCTAATGTGGTATGGAAACTTGAGCTGATTTACGTACGTATGCAGTTCTACGTTGTTGTTTATTTATGATTGATTGATCGTCTTTTAAAACCGAAACCATGAGAATTTCGGTAGTAGGAATAACTGAAATATTTTACTTGTTTCTGTGTTCAACATTACGTAAGGAAACTATAAACCTAGTGTAGAAAAATATGTAACAAACATAAGGGACAGATTACCATACTAAGAGATTCTTAGGGGAGCGGAGAACTGATTTGCTGTTTGGGATGTGACAAAAATTTCCAGGAACCGCAACTGAGTTGGTTTGCAGAATCTCCAATCTACTATGAGGTTAGCTGCAGTGAACCAGTCTTTAATCACATACAAGGGTTAAACGTGAGCTAAGTTTCCTCCATATAGCTTAGGGATAACAATATCTAATAAGTTTATAGACACTGAGGAAGCGTATAGTGACCTAATTTCTTCAATATTATGAGGACCAGATAAATGCCTATATGGTATCAAGAACGATGGTGTATTGCCTTCTGACACATATATGTATGTAGAGCTAAGTAGGTTTAACATATTCACATTTAGGCCTATCAATAGGCAATCAATACTAGATAAAAGATAGGGCCTCAAAACGAACGTTTTAATTATGAAGCCGTCAATTATAATTGTAACTGAAACGTGGAGCTTGTTTTCAATAAAATTACTTTTATCTAACATTAATACAAAGGGGTACCCAAACATTGATGCACCACACAAATTATCGACTTAGTGAACAGGTTGGGATACTGCACGGGTGCCCAAATCGAAGTAGGTGGTTATCTTAGGTCACTCCCCGAACATTTGACAC